ATAGTTGGGCAAGCTCTCAAAAGTAGTCCAATGACAGTTTCAATGACAGGTGGAGTTTTGAAACATAATTCATCGGCGGATAATGCTTAAACTCGAAAGTCTACTCTATAATTTCGAAAACTATTATTGTAGAGCCGTTACCTAATTATAATGCTTGGATGGTCCTCCCTCCCTCCCGAAAGAGAGGCGGGCTTCTAATGACTTTTTTCCGTGCCGTTCTAACTGTTTGCCATTGTCTTGGCCAAGTTTGTATGTATTTATTTGTTGTGTTTTGCAACCAAACTAATTGCAAATAAATTGTGCGCAGTTACAATCAGAGAGCGGGTAGGGCCCTGCTCCGGCTCCTAATCTGAGACGGGGCTGATCGACAAGTAGGCGCCAACAGACAATGGAATTTCAAATCAATGGGCTAATAAATAACCTAGACTAAAAGAAGTCTACTAAGGGAAAGTATCTATCTATCTAGATTCTAGATAGTCTAGCTAGCCCTTACTTCCCATAGTATAAGCCAGTAACTACTAGTAACTAAATGGTTCTCTCTCTCTTTCATATAGTACTCCTTATCAGCCCACTGGGAGCTGATTGAATTGCTATTAAATTTATTGAAAATCTACGGGAAGTGGAATCGAATTGAATGAGAGGCAACCTTCCACTCGGTTCATTGACATGCTCGGTTCTTGTTTCTGGCCTGGGGCGCAGATTGAAGAGAGCCCTTACTAATTGTGAGATATAAAGTCAAGGTCGACCCGCCCCACTCCGCCTTCGGCTGATAAGGCCAAGGCGGCCATGTGTCCCGGCACCTGATAAGAAAAGCCAAACACTGCGCAGAGAAAAGGCCATAAAGCAGCCAGAAATCAAACCCTGGGATGGAAAAAATTCCATAGGTGCGGCGTCAGAGCTTCTCATTCAAGAGTGTTGGCAGTATGACTCGGTGCTTTTGATTGATCAACTCCCGATTTGGCTCTCGGTTTTGGCTCTAAAAGCCTTTTGTTGACCTCATGAATACCTCTTTAATTTATACCATTGTTGGGGTGCGTCCAGATAGCCAAATTTTAATAATTTATGCAAATTCTTGAGGTCATTGTTTGGAATTGGTCAATATTCGCGACTAATATATGCCCGAGTTAGGGTTCCTACGTGGAACTTACGGCTTGGGGAAGTCCCAGTCTGATTTTTTCCTGGAGGAGGACACTGATATTATTTATGAAGAAAACTTTGCCAGTTTTTTTTGCATATTTTTCGTAAACATTCATAAATAGTCTAATGATGTTGCTCCCGCTGGCTCCATTAATCAAGACTTGTCACTCAGTCATTCACCCATTCAGCCAAGCATTCATTCATTCACTGCTTTTTTCGCTGGCGGATGTATCTTGTATCTGCTGGTACAGTGTTATCTTGTAGCTGGTTTCGCCTTATTTTTTGTTGCCGGATTCGTTCCTCGAGGGTTTTTCCACCAAACTTCCCCATCAATCAGGCAATTAAACGATGTAGGATATTATTTCGAATACTTCTAGGTAAAACCTCTCAAAATTCATACTCATTAGTGTTTCATTTTCAATTGCAGATTTAATTGGAATGGCATCTTCACCCAACAATGCGGCGCCGCCAGTTCTGTGGCGGGCGAGACGGAAAATTGGTAAGTTTTAAAATATTCTTATAAATTATTAAGGTAGTCAATTGTAGGATTATGGTAAGGATTATGAATTTTAAAGTTAGCAACCTTCAGCGGAAAGATTAAATCAATAGCAATCCGATTTGCATTTATAGTGGCCGTTTAATTAAGCCAAAAGGATGAGTTATTTGGGGTCAAGTGGCCAGGAGCGGGGCCCAACTAACCCGAACTGCTGGCCCGCCTGAAAACAATCACATAAAGTTTTAATTAATTTCAAACAAACGGCCAAACAAACAGCGGGCTGGGCAAACAAACAAAACCAACCTCAACCTCCCCATCCGACCTCCGACCTCCTCCGAGAGGAACTAGGAGGAGAACTTTACAATTTATGGCCGTAGTCGCGTGGCTCGCACGCCTCCTTCCATCGCTAGACTAACGGACTCTGTTTGTCTTTGTAATGGTAACAAGAAGCAGCGGGAGTGCGAGTGGGAGTGGGAGGGAAAGTGGCAACTGGAATGCCAATGGCGGAGACTACTCTGCACGCTTTGTCAACACTTTGCAGGAAGCCAACGTCGCTGATGTCGTCGGTGTCACGCTCCATGTGGTTTATGGAATGGAATAACATGGCGACTACCACACACACAAACACAACCACACACGTATACCCGGCACAAATACTAACACACTTGTGTGCCGTCATTTCCGTTTCCGCTTCGACAAAAAAACACGGTAGAATATACATATCATACTTATGTATAAAAAAATGCTAGAGTCCCTCTTTTAGTGAGAATTAGTTAGTCGCTTAGTTTAGTTTGTTTTGGTTACTCATGTTTCTTGGGCAGAAAAGCCGGCAAGTCGCCGTTGAGCCAAAGCACTATAGGAAATATGACCACTTTTTCTGGCCAAAAATATTATCTCAAGAACGAAACAAGATATTTAAGTTCTGATTTTTGATTTGAGTTCACATGGTCAATAGATTTAAGATTTAAAAAAAATATGGGCGTGGCACCGCCCACTACAATCTACAACATGGACTAAATAACAATGTCCGACTCGGTCGGACTTAGTTTAAATCTCTTTTTAACAAGAAAGGAAAGCTAACTTCGGGCGGAGCCGAAGTTTATATACCCTTGCAGTTAAAACCGGATATATATCGCAAACATCGGATATAGTTGGCCGATCCTTATGGGAATAGGAATATATAATCCAATTTATTACAATACAAAATCTAAAAAAAGTCCCAAACTTCTATCTTCAAAAATACGTTGTTGATATATTTACCAAATACCATTTCCGATCGTTCAGTTATATGGCAGCTATGGGATATAGTCGGCCGATCCTAATGAAATTTGGTAGGTTGGATCAACTGACCAAAAATAGAATCTGTATTAAATTCCAGCTTTCTATCTTCAAAAACACGAAAGTAGGGTCATTTCCGATCGTTCAGTTATATGGCAGCTATAGGATATAGTCGGCCGATTCGGGCCGTTCCGACTTATATACTGCGTGCACAGGAAAGAAGGGTGTGTGCAAAGTTTCAAGACGATAGCTTCAAAACTGAGAGACTAGTTCGCGTAGAAACAGACAGACGGACAGACAGACGGACAGACGGACAGACGGACATGCTCATATCAACTCAGGAGGTGATCCTGATCAAGAATATATATACTTTATAGGGTCGGAGATGTCTCCTTCACTGCGTTGCACACTTTTGACCAAAATTATAATACCCTCTGCAAGGGTATAAAAATGTGATTTATTTCTAAAAATTTCTTTTGTTAGACTACTTACATTTTCACTTTATTAAAATGACAACACAAGTTTTTTGGACACTTTACATACACAAGCACATAATACAAACCACATTGAAAAGTATTCATATCAAAACTTTTGATTTTGTCAATAAAATTTTCAGTATTCGCGTTTCTAAAATGCCACCAAAAAATCGTAAATTCTAAGCTCATGTAAATTAATCTATTGTGAATGATATGCAGTTAAAATTATTTTAATCTATTAACTTTCAAAAAATGGTTTTTGACAGGAAAAAGTGGTAAAATTTCCTATAGTGCAAAGTTTGGAGCTCAAACCGTAAAGTTTGAGTGAAAAGTGAGAGAGCTTTTTCTCCAACTTGGAGTCGAAGCTCCTGGAAAGTTTTATCGAAAGTTTATCTTGAACTTCTGGTTTGCAAAGCCGGTTCTTTTGGCCAACTGACTGAGTACTGAGTGGTCGCAGATGCCAATATCCGACTGATAAATGAATGTGTGTGTGTCTGTGTGAGGCCACATATGTTTTGTTATTTTCCCTGTCCAGACTTTAAGCCAACTAACGGTGCATTTTTGGATATGACACCAAAAACCAACAATGGCTTCGAAACAGCTGTTGTCTTTGTTGGGAGTTTCAGTTCCTTAGGGTTCTGTTTCGCTTGGATTCGATTAAAATTAGTAGCTATGTATATTATTAGTTTGGCTTCCAATTGAAGTAGTTGCTCCTCTGGCATTCCGGGGCTCTCCCCGGTAATCAATTAGGGCCATGGTCACGTTGGCGCTAACCGCTGAGCAAAAAAAAAAAAACTGAGAACGAGAATCAAACGTAAAAAATGTAAAGAACTCGCACATTTCCCAGGTCACCGTTTTCCTGATAAGAAATCTGACAAAACCGACTGCGAAAGGGAAAAGTGCGCTATCAACAAGTTGAATGCGAATGCGAATGCTCGGGAAATGGCAAAGGAGTGAGGAAAACGCGAGTCACAGAGGAATCGAAGAAAACTAATACTACCAAGCTATAAACTCTAAGAGAGAAAGACTAGAGAGAACAGGCAAAAGTTCATTAGTCGCTCGCGATAAACTAAAAAGGCAAATGTAAATAAAAAGCGAATTAAAAGGAACAGAAACCCTCGGATGCACTCAAACACACACTCAGATACTACTCAGGGGCGAATTCGCTTCACTCATGTGTGAGTGACTTCGCTTTGTTTATTTTAGGCGAATTCGCCGCGTATCTGGTCGGTTCGGCGTTCTGCGTTCAGAGCTCGTCGTTCGCTTCAGTATCGCTCAGATACTATTCGCACACTGTTCAGATACAGTTCGTTCGGCGAGCGCGAGACAAAAGCGGCCCGAAAATAAATTACAATTGAAACCGAAACCGAAACACATGCAACCCAGAAAATATAATCTAGAAAACGACATAAATCGGGCAGAGTTTTGTGCGCGTTGTGAGCCAGAAACGTAAAATCCAGAAAGCCAAAAAGTTAAAAAGTCAAAAACGCGAATCGAAGTGAAACGAATGAAAACTCGGGGCGCTGAGATGAGGCAATGAAACGATCAACGGTCGCGTGCTCAATTCTTCTTCTCGCCCTCGCCCTCGCCCCCAGAGTGCCAAGAGTGCCCAGAGTGCGAGTGCCAGTTCGAGTGCCAGTGCGGTTGTGTGCGTGTCCCCAAGGTGTGAAAATATCTTACGCGTAGCGAAAAGTATCTACACACACGGCCCATACCAATATACACTGGCTGCATAATAGCCCTGCCACAATTAACATAATCCAAATAACTCAAATAAAAGGCGTAAAACGAAGCACAGCGATCGCCCCGCTAAGTGAAAAAGTAAACCCCAGTGATCCCCCCTTAATCTACCTAATCCCCTATATTTTATAGCTAAAGTTTTCGCAAAGAGTATCCCCGAGAGTGGGCAGAAAGTGCATTCGTTGGGGCCACTACGTATTCTTAAGATACTTTCTGTCACTTGCAGCTGATCTGGTCGGCGTCTCTTTCGCTCTCTGGCCTCTCCATCTCGATCGGCACGGCGTTGCCAGCTTGATTTTTGTTCCCCCCATCGAGCTTATCTCTTGGTGACTCTGCCAGTGCCTGTGCCTGTGCCAGTGTTGTTGCTTTTTTTTCCTATTTTGTTGTTTATTATTTGATATTGTTGCGGCGAATTGGCAAAGCGTCCAAGCGTGCAAAAAAAAAACCGAAATTTAAACCATTTTCGGGCTCTATTAGTGGAAAAGCACTAAGCGTATGGCCCTCTCTTGAATGGGCTTCTGTGCTCTGGAATGTGATTTGTGCTGGTCATTCGGATTATATATTTTTTTTTGGCGGAAATTGTGGGTTTCCTAGGTTTTTAGATAAAGGCCGAGCCGTCCGGACTCCGAAGTGCGCAACGGAACGGCGATAAGCTGTCTGGGCAGCCCTTTGCCGCCCCCGCGTTACGTCCCTGCCCCTGAACTTGGCCCTCACCTGCAGACAGGTGCCTTTGTTGTCAATATTTTTGTTATTTTTTTTTTGGGTCTTTTATCAAGAGAGGCATGTGGCAGGTTTAGTCAACAAAGTCTCGCCTGTGGCTGTAACGGAAGTGGCTGCCAAAAGTATAGACAATGTAGAGGCACAAGTCTCAGTCTCATTCTCAGTTTGTGGAGCAACTTTTCCAACAGAACGCTAACCAGCAACACACACATCACAGAGACTGGCTATAGAGACAGGCTATAGAATAGAGCCCTCTCTGCAGCCCCCACACGACCTGTGTGCTTGTTTATGATTGTCATTATCATTATCAGAAGGAATTACCATTGTTATCCAGCTAAATCTAGTCATTACTCACTCACGCGCTTATCAGTGGGCGCCGCTTTCGCTCGTGCTTTGATGCTGATAATACGCCTTGAGTTGGCTTACCTGCTGGCCGCTGGCCAGTGCCACTAGCTACTATAGCTACTTGGGCTATCAGTCACGTTGAAACGATGCCGTCACTTGGCCAAAATAATCATTGACGGTCATTGTTGTTGACCGCCGACGAGGAGGGGAATTTCCTGGCCTCTCGAAAACTGTGGAAAGTGTGGGGGTCTCCTATCGAAAGTTTCCGTTCTTCAGATTAAAGAGATTTAAGGAGGCATAATACTGATAGCTTACGCTCTTACTCAGATAATTAATAACCAAATCTCCTCCTATTCATAACCAGTTGGTATTAAAATCAAAATTATGTGTGATTCCCCTGAATTTAAAGCCATAATGGTGTCTATAATTTATTAATATTATGATGGTTTCTCAAGAAACCTTTGGATTCTTTAAAGATATTAAGCTCTGCGAAGATTTAATTTGTAGAGTTTCTTAATAAATACTCTTCCGACCACTTGCGACCAGTTATTACAGAGTACTCCCATGCCATATCAAGTAGCCGCCATGTTGCCCGAATGGGTTTTCCGTGCCTATCCCCGCCATATAAGGGGACTCGCAGAGCGCGGCGGGGCGGGGGAGCGGACGAAATTGACCCAATATACTGGCAAGATTTCAAGTTGATTGCAATGGCAAAAGTTACACACATATATGGTAATTACGCCCGGATTATTATGGCCAAATGCAGAAGGTGGTCTGCATGGAGGCAGTTGGCTAACCTGGTCGACCAGCCGACTGGTGACTGGCTTCCTGCTGCCCACATTTGGTTGTACTGGGCCCAGAGCAGCTGGCTTGTGCAGGCTGTAGGCCTTCTTTAATGTGGGTTAAGAGTTCTTCGAGGAATTCCGACAGAAAGACTCCCACACGGCAGTATCTTTTATGAATGCATCATTAGCTTGTATCCGAAAGATAATGCCTTCAATTATTGATATACGAACCAATATGTTCGCTGGCAGAGTTCTTTATGGACATTTTATGTTTATTTATCGCTTCTTCTCCCTTGAAGTCTTTGAACCCGCCCCTGTTGACACCTTTGTTGCTTCTGTCTCGACACTGGCACTGGCTCTGGTTCTGGCTTTTGTTTTGTTTAATTTTTATTGATGTTATTGCTGTTTATTGGGGAATGCCAAACAGCTGTTTGTGGGCCATTCTGCGCCTGGATTCTGTTTGGCGGCACGTGTCTGCCGGATGGATACCAGATAGAAGTATCTGCTAGTGTTGATCTTGCGTGTATAGTATTATTTGATTCGTGGGGCTGTTGATTTATTCAATTTGCATCTCGTTTATGGTCGCTCTGCTTGCCAAACTCGTTTCGAACCCTCCAAATTTAAATCATGTGCAGTATTTCCAAATTAATTATTTAAATATTCGCGAGTCTTTGATTTGATGGCGAAATTCTTGTCAGTTTATCGGACAAGTGCATTATTATGGCGAATAATTTTAATTGAAATTGAATTAAATCCACTTTCGTATACCTTGCGGAAATTTCCTCTAGTGCTTTGTTTTTTCTTTGGACATCCACGCTCTCTTGATAAAAAATCATCATATGATGTGGGGGCAGACTTATCTTACCCAATGCCCGCCACTCGTAAAATGTCGAAAATATTACCCGACTTGTGTCTCATAGAAGGCCCTATATACCGCCTCTATATAGAAGCTCATTCACAGTTCGATGCCTCAAGGCTAGACCACCGCAGAACATATGTAATCATAATACTGAACAGATTTTTCGAAATAATGTGAGTCAGATTGTGGGACGAGTTTTTACATCTTCTCGGAAAAGCCAATATTTGCATGGAAAATGGTCGGTCGGGCGGTATTATTATTATTTCGGGAAACCCATTTGGAACTGAGTCACCTGGCTGGCATTTCCTCGAGATCCAGATCGGCAGGGGGCGGTGCTTGCGTCACAGGCCGATGGACAAAAGAAAATGTGTGCCAATTGCGCGATTTCATATTCGAATATATATATACTAAAGATATAGATTCATTTTAAAAGGAAACGGGGCAGCTGCCCACACACGGTTACATGGGGGAGGGAGATGTGGAAGGTTGAGATCTCTGTCGTCATACATGGGCACTGTTAGATAATAGTACTAGTTTTTCTATTAAATATTTATATTATTTTAATATTTTAACTAACTTGTGCTTTTTTCGTAGTGCATTCACTCGCCTCTCTTGCCAATTCGCCGCAAAGTGAGTGGCGCAGCTACCTTATCAGCTTAAGCTCTCCGGCTCTCTTCTCGCCACTCTCCTCGTTCTTTTTGGCATCGAATTGGCGCAAGAAGAAGAGCCTTTTAATTAATATGCTTTAATAACACCCACCCCCTTCCGCCTTCCGCCTCCCACTCCCCCTAACCCACCCAGCACAAACTTACACTATACCTCTCAGCTGCTATTAATCTTCATTCTGTTTATACAAATCAAACAGATTTAATTAATTTATATCAGTTGTGCGCTCTCTCTCCGCTGTTTGTTTATGTTTTTGTTTGCCCCTTTTGTTTTCGTGTTCGCGTGCTGAGAGTCATAGCCCAGAGCTGGCCGGGCTGGTGGAAAATTTTCCAACGCTATGGAATTAAAATTGATTCTAAACCGCGAGTGCGAAACCCACCGGTGGGCGGTGGTGGGGGGCGGACTGGGAGCAGACCTGGCGCCTGCTTAAACGGTTCTGTCGTTCCACTGCAGTTCCACCTGATACCCCCCTATCTCCACTAATTTTTTTTCCTAATTAACTAAAGCGGCAATTTGCAATTGACTGGCACGGGGGCAGCCCTTGAAACCAGTTGGGAATCATAGAAATTACACGATCTAGAGCTGGTTGGTGGGATTACCTAATTGGAAGTGTTGAGGAAAAAGTAAAGCCCCCCATTAAAGCAAGGCCCCATTAACAAACCCCCCAACTCCAATCCAAAAGACAAAAGCAGATTTCACTTATTTATGATTTCATTAGGCTGCTCATTACCCTTATCAGGACCAGGCCCAGAACCAGTCAGCTGCCAGTTGTTTTCGGGTTTAAAAACTTCAAAAAGACTGCCTGCCTCCGCACCTGACCTTTGGCCCTGCAGCTGTTCAGTTATGTTTTTCTGTTCGCAAAGAGCTTACATCGAACATCGTCTCGAATTACCCCTCCGAGTTCCAAGAACTCGCCCGAAAGTTGCCAATTTGTGTTCCTGTTTCTGTTTACTTATTAATGTGCAATGTCTTGCAATATTTTGATTATTGTATACGATTTCTACCCGTGCCTGTCTGCCCGTCTGCCCGTCTGCCCGCCCACGGCGTCGTCTTACAATTTATTCTGCTGATGCCAGGCTGGGACGTCTTCTGGCTGGGAACCCAATACCCACACAAGGACCAGAGACCGATACTGATCTTGACTCTTGAAAGTTATTTACGCCGAACCGTCCAAAACCAAACAAACCAAAGTGAAAAATATTATTTTGTGAAACTTTTCCAGTCCCGGAAACCCCAGAGAGAATCCAAATAAGACCACAGCAAATAATATATCAAATAATCACTATTTGTTTGGATTGGATGGCCCATTATTTATTTGCTTGGGTCATTTCCTCGAATTAGACGCCGTGACAATTCCGAAATTCGAGTGTAAAAAAGTTTCCATTTATGAATAATATTTGTAAAGGCAGATGTTGGTGGGACTGCCACTGCCACTGGGCGGATCAAAGTGAGCGATCGAGCAAACAAATATTGTCGCAGACACTACGTAATGTCTGTTCGGTGGATAATTAACACTTGATTAACACAATTGGGTGCTTGTCATACGCAGATCCAAGGGAGATCTTAAAAATAAAGGAGAGTCCAAGGGAGTGGGAATTGGCCTAGGTTCTGACTCAAGAGGAGTCATGTAATTAGTGCTAAGTGATTATGCCTGGTCGGGAGTACAGCAATGCGTAGTATTCTGACCCGGTTACGAGGCCACACTT